CTGTTTTTCTACATTTTTTATACGTTTTTTAAACGTATTATTTCTGTATACTTTCCTTATACTGATTATTTATAGGGTTTCAGGTGATCAATCTTACATGATGAGCTCTTTATGCTACAATTGTGAACTTGAATTTATTACTTGAAGTGTTGCAGTAAGATAATATTCTAACTTATCTTGGGAATATAACTTTGCTAATTCAGAATTATAAGAAAATTGATTCTTATTTTTGCAGTACTATGAGTCATGTAATCTATAATTCCCATATTTTCTATAACAAATAAACTATGATGAGCTTCATGGCTGAGCAGATACAAAATTATAATTATCAATCCCTCTGAAACTATTTCAGAATTTCAAGTATGTAAAATGCTCTAAAATGGATTTGATAATTAATTCTGAATCAGGTTTGGCTTCATAAGTGATAGGCTTGAAATCTGAGGCTTGAGGTTTTTCTGATATACTTATCATGGCTTCTGATAATTGTCATGATTTATTTTCAGTTTCTTTTTTATATCTTTTGTATAAATTGAAACGAATCTTATCTGTTAAAATGCTTGGTAACCCACTTAATTTGGCATGCCAATTCAAATACTTGGATATTAATACTTTATCAGATTTGATCATATTGCTGTTTTATATGATTGCAAATTAATTTAAATTACAGTAGATAAAAGTCAATATAAATTAATCCTGTAAAAAAATATCACATTAAAGTGTGAGCAAATATAGGTCATATGAAACACCTCTGCCTAAAGTAACCAGACTTTACAATTATCTCAATTTTATGCTATTCATATTTAATAAAGTAAGATTTGGCTTTATATCATTATAACCTAATTTGTATAATAGGTAAATAGTCTCTCTCAAGACCCCGCATGATATCTCATCAGTAATCTCATAATAATAGAAATTTTCACTACTACATTTTCTATATAGATTAGAATATTGATCTAATATCTTATTATAAAAATAGGATTAGTCATAAGTTGACTTAGATTGGAATGCAGATAATTTATTTGCTGATGTACTTACATCAGCTTTTAAAGGAATATATATATCAGTCAGATTAATTTTTGAAGTCACATGACTCTGATTGTGAAGAATCTTCATAGTTTTATTGTGTAGACTTGTCACAGAATTTGCATGATCTATAATATTATGTATTTGTGGGTAACTGAGACTTGAAATAGCATCTACACTATAAAAGACCTATTTAATTTTCTTTATTTCTAATGTATTGAATAATTTATATAATTTTCTAGCCCTAAGGATTTTTTGACACAAATTCACACCTGTTATATCAGGTAAAAAAACTGTTTGATTTCTTGATATACCATAGATGTTACAGTTTTTTTCTTAATTTTACCAGCAAAAAGATTATCAATTCTTTTGTCATATTTTTTTATAAAGAAGTATCAGTATAAACTTGCTTTTTAACTAAGCTTAATAGCTTTACTAAATATGCAAACTATATTTTATGCAATATCTGAAGATAGATCCTATTCTTCTGAAGTTTTATCTGATGTAAATGTATGTGCAGATGATAATAACTGTTGCTTTAACTTCTATTTCACAATTATATTTATCAAACTTGGCAATAACTTCATCATGCTGATCAGATTTAAGTTCCTCCATGTCACATGACTCTGATCGTGAAAAATCTTCACAGTTTTTAAGATTACATGCTAATTTAGATGTATTAACTTGCAGTTGCTTTGATAAGATGCAAGATGTTAATCTTATGCTCTCAGAACTAACCTCATAAGATTGTGATAAGTTTTGCTCATCTTACTCTAAAATTAACATGTCTATGATCTCAGAAATTTTAATCACGTCCTGAGAAATTACAAGTGTCTTTTGATTTTTCTGCTTCTTTTTTCATCTCCTCTTTCTAATCTCATTACTAATGCTTTTCTTATATGTCTCATCCAAGAAATCGACTATTTTCTCATCATTACTATCAAGGTCATTAGATGCTCATCCTACTTTATTATTAAGATGATCTATTACAGAATCGGGTATATCAACAATTGATACCATCACCACTAGAATTGCTTCTTTATCATTTTGTATCTGACCAAATGATAACGCTATCCTATCCGCCACTGAATCCTATTCTAATAATGCAAGTTTAGCCTCATAGAAGGACTTTCACGTGATTGGTCAATTGATTTCAATTGAATTTATACAGTTTAAAATACTTTTTTAGAATACTATATTACCATTAATAAAAGTTAAAAAAAATTTATTTTCAGTTTTAAAAGAACGTTAGGATTCTCTGTTTAAAATAATCAAAAAAATAATCAGAAACCCTGAGTACTTTACTTAGAAGGTAATATCACTATCAAATGCTATTACCGGATCTTGTGTAATTGCTATATGCAGAAAAAATTGACTCAATGGAGAAAAGTAACTGAGAATATTCTAACTATAAGTCAAGCCAGTAATACCTTACCAGCTTATATTCAAGAAGAAGATACAATTTGTCTAAACTATTACAATGGAATTATTATAAATAGCTCACTCAAATTTCAACAGCATGCTAAAGAGTATACTGAAACTAATGTAAAATAGTATAAACTTGAATCTAATTCTATTCTATCTTTTTCTAAAGCAATAAAAATAATAACAAATATTCTATATACTCGTGAATGAAACCAACATTATATTCATTTGATGAATTTCAGACAATTATAGAAGCAAAGGATGCAAGGTTAAAGCTATTATTTAATGAATTGTATCTTTTATCTAATCCAGCTTCAAAAAATAAAGATTCACAAGCATAAGCAAAAATACAACTTCTTTTTATATGCTATTTTCTTTGTGGAATTCGAAATAAGTTTATTAATAATGCAAAGAAGGATTTGACAATATATTTGGATTCCTCCGGTGTTTCTAATGCTTCTATTGATACTCTTGCAAATTTAGGTATAGCCATAACATCTCATACAGTTATATGATATAAAATTGCTACATCTGAAGAACATGTCAAAACTATTAATTCTGCACTTGCTGAATATGGGATAAAGCAATAGTATTGAATATTGATGATTATCATAGTATTCATATTAAAAGAATGCCCAATACAACCACTATATCTACTACTGCACATCTAGCAAAATCCTAATAAATCCTGTTGCTTCACAGAATGCAATTTCAAGAGCATACATACATAATCCTATATTGGTTGGTGCTGAATTAATCAAAATAAATTTAGAAAATAAATTCATGATGCTTTATAGATTTTCACATAATCAGCGTTGGAATTTCGTACAGTTGATAATGATATGAAATTAGAAGAGTTAATAGTACATAATTATGATATTAGGTTAAAAGAAAAACAGATTGTTCATTTTATGAAGGATGTTATTCTTGTAGATTTACAAGAGAATAACCTTCATTCTTTAAATGCATATATTAAAGCCATTGATGCTGTTACAAATGTTTTATTTATGAAACAATACATTCAAAAAGAACAGGTTATCCCTATTGTTGCTGATTAGCCAGGTCAAATTTATCTATTTCTCGTTATTTGCTTTATAAGGATTCTTCGAATATTACTGATTCTATTTTATCTTTCATTCCCATTATAGGTCCTTTACATATTTTATTAAATAGCTAGGAATTGGTATTTCTTCAATATCAGCCTTTTTTCAGCTATGTATAAGGACATATTTGGAGAATAAAAGCCTTTTGCATAAAAACTTAAACCATAGCATATTAATCTACTTTTAGAGATTTCTCGTAGTTAAGGTTGCTGGACGAAATCAAGAGTTTAGACAGACGTCTAAATGGTAAAAGTAAAACTTGGTTAAATTATATTAAAATTTATTAAAAAATCTGCGAAATTTGGAAAAGGTAAAACTATATCAAAGCTTATAAAAATAGTGAAACTATATCAAATACTTAGTAAAAGTTTAGCGAAACTAAAGGTTTTACTATTTTGCCAAATCTAAAATTAGTTTAAACAAGCAATCTTACTCGTAGTGCTTGGCAGGAAACTTCTAAAGTAGTTAAAGCAAAATTTGGATTCTTATGCAAAGATGTCGAATATCTTGCACTTAAAGATCTTCTTGACAATGTAATTCCTTTGGTCTTGGATATTTATGCTATGTTTTTCTGATCTGGTGATTTTAATGCTTATTTGGAATCCTGTTTTCGTGTATGGACTAAAGATGGCATTGTAATTAAGAAGTTGCAACTCAGTAAGTTGCAACTTGGGTTGCAACTGGTTGCAACTCCTTGCAAAATTTATTTTAATATAAAAATTTATAAATAGTTGCAACTAGCTAAAAATTTTAAAATTAATTACAGCTCCATCTTTAGTATGGACAATATTTTTGAAATTTCAACGCAAAAATTATACTAAAGCACCATTAATGTTCTTTTCTGATATCTTTTATTGGAAGTTAAATAACCATGCAATCCTAGAGGTAATCAAGGCTGAACTTCTAACAAATATAGATACAATTGTAATTTTAGCTTGCGATCATATATATCATAAAATTTGCCATGAAAATAATGGATATAAGTGTTCACATTGTCTTGTTTTATTTATACAAAATGGTGTTAATGAACATGTCATGTCCTTAATAACATGATTGCAACCATTTGACGAAGTGCAAGTTGAAAAAGGTGATGACAATATTCCTTGTGATGACAATGATGAAAATGAACCAATAGAATGTATGAAATTTACATTAGAAGAAGCATTGCGAAAATTTCAATTACAATAATATTTATAAATAATAAATAAAGGCTTTATTTAACTCAATAATTTGCTGATTTACATTAGTCAAAAAGATTAAAATTACATAATTTTTGCAAAAAAAACAAAAAATGAATTGCTAAAACTATATAAAATATCTATTTTTTAATATTAAAATAGAACACGGACCTTTGAAATAAGTACAGTCAACCCTTGATATAACGAATTTTATGTCCTGAACTTCAACTTCGCTATAGAGCTATAGTGAATTTT